AAGCATAAGTGGAGGGATTGGCCTCTCATAGGAAGGAAGCAATGTTTTCTATTTGCCATAGGAAGAAGGAAGAGTGGGAGGAATGAAGATAGTATGTAGGTTTGCATATTTGATGGCTACAGTTTGAAAGAGTTTACATCTGAGCACTTTGGCAATCTAGTGTTGCTGTAAAAAGATCTTCAGTTGATGGGGATGGTGGGAGAGGCAGAAATTTGCATAGTCTGAGAAGGTTTAAGAATTATTGCAAGCATTATTTCGAATAGCCAGAGTAGAAACAATAACAAATGGAGAAGCAATGGAACATTATTTAACTATGGAAAGGAATGAAGTACTGATATATGCTACAATATGGATAAACCTTGAGAACATTATGTTAATTCAAAGAAGCCAGTTGGGCAGCCATTATGTTAATTGAAAGAAGCCAGTTGGGCGCCTAGGCTGCTCAGTGGGTTAAAGTCTCTGCCTTCTGCTCAGGTCATGATCTCAGGGTCCTGGGATCGAGTTCCGCATTGGGCTCTCTGCTCGGGAGGGAGCCTGCTTCCCTTCCTCTCTCTCTGCTTGCCTCTCTGCTTACTTGTGATCTCTCTCTGTCAAATAAATAAATAAAATCTAAAAAAAAAAAAAAAGAAAATGAAAGAAGCCAGTCACAAAAGGTCACTTATTGTATAATTCCATTTATATAAATGTCCAAAAGAGGCAAATAGAAAGATTAAGTGGTTGTTAGAGGCAGAGCGGGTGGGGGAGATGGGGAGTGACTGTTAATGAGAATTTCTTTGTTAATGGGGCTTCTTTTGGGGGCAATGAACTATTCTGAAATTAAATAGTAGTGAGGTTGAAGAGTTTTGTAAGTATACTAAAAATCACTGAATTGCACACTTTAAAAATGTGAATTTTATAGCACGTGAATTGTATCTCAATAAAGCTTTTTTTTTTTTTTTTAAAGACAAGCTATTGCAGAGGGTAGGCTAGTACACTGTCCAGATAAAGGAAGTATGACTGCCAGCTAGCAGGGACATCCATAAAGTGAATGAAACTTCAGCGCAGGTCTCCCATGAGGGTAGGGAGCCACTGGGAGAGTTGGAGAGTCCTAGTTGGAACAGGAAGCCAGGATGCACTCAGGAAGCATACTTGTGTAAGGATTCTGGTAAATCATCATCGAGATCTCAAAAGAAAGGCATCTATATCTCCATGGATCCAGTAAATATGTTTGTCATTTATGTCTTCATTCTAAACACATATTCACCCTAATTTTATATTTGTAATTATATATTCTTTTCTTTGAAAAGTACTCTCCAAACTGTATAAGCTTTAGGGCCCAGAAAACTAAGACCTGTCCTCTGCAGAAAGATGAGGATCTACTTGAAGGCTTTAAACATTAATTTATGGCAATGCCACTTATCCTGTTGGGTGATTCCCTCCAAAAGCACTTGGTTGCTTGGGTGCAGAAGAAAGTAGAGTTGGGCTCATCCAGAATTGAGTTTTATGAGTTGGGACCATGTCATTAAAAATATGGACAATAGAATTTAAATTGGACAAGGGGGAAGCAGAGAAAGGAGAGTTCTGCTGGATCATGAGAAGGCAAACTGTTAATAGGCTAGAAAAGCTGTTAAGAAGATTACACAAGAAGATCTTAAAAGATCAAGCTGGAGGACATGTGGTTAAAGGAGGATGCTGGAGGTGAATGACAAAGTCCATAGTAGTGATTGTTCGAAGTGATTTGAACCACAGGAAATGATAGGATCATTTGCTCTAAGAAAAAGTCTCAACTCTAATCTGCAAGCATCTGTGCAACCTGTCCTTTACCTGTAACCTCACCCAGTCCAATGTCCCTCTCACTTGCCTCACTGCTGCCTTCATCCAGGTCCTTGAGAGCTCCTTCTAGACTGAAGACTTGTACACCTAATAGTTCCTCTGTCTGGAATACTCTTTGCTAACTTTACCAGGCTAACCCCACTCAACCTGAGGATCTCCACTTAAAGTCTTTTCCTAAGGGAAGTGTATCCCAACCTATCTGTTCTCCTCTCAGGGGTAGCTCCTCCTGTTATATGCCCAAATAAAACAATCTATATTTCTTTCACACCATTTCACGCCACATTTGACTGTATTGTAGAATTTACAGGGCTAATTATCTGTAAAATGTGTTTCTCCAGGATAGAGGAATGGAAGAATAGGTCTGGCTTTCCTCCTTATCATATCCCAGGTCCTCAGGGACTTGCACATAAATATTTGTTGTGTGAAAGAAAGTTAAGATTCTTATGTGTGATAGGTATTTCTGGCATACATTTTAATGTATAGAGATATAAAATGTGATTGCACAGATAATCTAAAAAGGGCATGTAATGTTAAAATAATGCAAATTTCCTTTCTAAAATACATACACGAAGATATATCTCTCTTCAACCTCTCTTTGACCCTTATTTGATCTAATACAAATCTAAAACAAATCTAATACAAATCTAAAACAACACAGTTGAAGATAGGAAAAATACTTAAAGATTTCTTCAAATATTCTATCTCATAGAAATGAGATAACTGAATCTCTTATTTGAAATAACAAAAGGATTACTGGAACTTCCAAAAGCCAAATAGTACAAGATATATTATAATTTTCCATTAGAAAGGCTTTTTAACTGGAGTGGAGACAGTGATGAATTTTCTAAAGCCAAGAGTGAACTAATCTTATGAATGTTAATTATAAATACTTTTGACTCAGTGTACATACACACTTCCTATGGGAGAAGTGGAAAACAAATTAAATGATTTATTTTCCTTTGGACTTGCGACAAAATCTGCATTCACACACTTAAAAAGAATTGCTCTGGTTTATTAGTTGCTATAAAAATGACAATCACTGGCATTCAAAAAAGCCTTAAAATTTAAGAAAAACAACAAGTTCTCTTGCTCTTTCTTTCCCTCTGCCCTGGTCAAGCTTATCCCTTTTATCTTTTCATAAAACAAGTCTTGGGAGTCTCTCTTCACAACATCTTACAAATCTCCATCTAAATAAATGCCTCTTCAAGGGAGTCTTACCTCTCACTCCATCTGACTAAGCCCACCCCAGTTATTTTTTCACTTTACTATATTTGCCTCAGGGCACAACAGTTATCACAATCTGTACTTCTGTTGACCTTTTCTTTAAGATCCTATGCCACTACAGGAATGTCACCTCCTGAGTGCAGGGATCTTTGTCGCTACCCCAGCACCTAACTGCAATTGCATATTTTCAAACTGAGAGGAACTCCTGAATATGAATGCCGTGTTAATAAGCAAATGCCCGTGTTAACTTACCTCCTAATATTTTTAGCACTTTCATCTGATTCTTTATGTTACCTTCTGAAGATTGTTTTGGGGCTTTGTTTTTCATAAGTAAATTGGGAAAGATACTTCTAGTACAGGACAATGGTAAGCTCAGGACCAGGAGTCATAATTGTAAAACACCCACAAGTAGGCAAATAGAAGTAGGACATCCAGTAATTCTCCCTGTTCTAGACCAACATTCCAAAGATAGATTTTAAACAAATACAACGTCAAGTGGAAGAAACTGGCAACAAACGGAGGGAATGTGAGACTTCAAAATGTCCCACACAAAGACTCAGTCAAATGCTTTGGCCCCACTAAGCGCTCCTACCACCCTGGCAGGCCTGCTCCGGAGACCCGTCCCCGCCCCTCCGGGTGGGTCCCCCGACCTCCCCACCAGGCTAGTCGCCGGCGCGCGCCGCCCCCTCACCCTCTCTCCTCTGGTCCCGGGCCTTAAGTCTTCCCCGCCCGGATCCGCGGGGTCGCGGTCTCCCGTTTTGATTGCAGGCTGTCAAGTAGAGAACCCCCCCCCCCCCCAACAACCCCTGATCTTGTGAGTACTACAAACTCTGAACTGATACTAGGCAGAGCCAACATGGCAAACCACAAACTGACACTCGAACACTCCTCGGTCCTCCCAGGGCCCGAGCCCCGGCGGCCCTGGTCTCGCCAAGGCTTCGTCCGCCTTCCCCCGCCAGGTGCTGGCTGGGGGCTCCGGCCGCCGCCGGCGCGGCAGGGCGGCCGAGGACCCCGTTCCAGCTTCCCGAACTACAGATCCCAGGGTGCCTCTCGGACTCCCGCTCCCTCCCTCTCTCGTTCCCTCCCTCCGCCCCCGGCCCTTGTTTTGGCTGGAAGCGCTCCGCCGGAGTTTCAGAGAAAGTCTAGGCAGAAACTGGAGCCGGCCCGAACGGGGGAGGGGAAGGAGGAAAGGGAGAGGGAACGGGGAGGCCTGGCCGCTCTGAGCCTACCGCGCGCCCCGCAGCGGGGGAAGCGGCGCTGGAGCGTGAAGGGACGGGACAGTGGGGTCGTTCTCCGCAGCCAAGCGCCGAGTGCCTGGTTCCTCCGCCGCTCCCCGCCCTCTCCGGCGGTGGCGAGAGCGGACCCACCCTCCCGCGGGACTTGCGCCCTGCCCAGCTCCTGCCGCCCAGCGACGCCCCGCGTTTCGCCGCCACTACGGCGGCTCCCTGCGTAGCCCAGGACCTGCCCTGAGCCCGCACGAGACCCTCGCGGTTTCCGTTTTCCCTCTGTCCACCCCCCGCTCTTTCGCGGGCGCCGCGGAGAAGTGACCCACCCTCTCCCGAGGAGGAGGAGGAGGAAGGGGAGGATCGCTCCGGGCGCACCGAAACCAAGGGGCGATCCGGAGTGGGCGCCGCACGGGGGCATTGTGTGAGTGAGTGAGTGAGTGTGTGTGTGAGAGTGTGTGTGTGCGCGCGCGTGCAACGTAGTGTCTTTCGGAAAGCGCCCGGGGAGGTCCTGTTCTTAGGGGGCGGAGCGCGGGGGACCGAGGCTCGGCTCCGTGCTGGGGCAGAGTCTCGCTGTGCCGGAGCGCTGCTGCGGCGGCCGGCGGGACGGCGCGCCTGGCGGCTAGGCTGGCGCACTGAAGGGAGGCCCGGGCGCCCTCGGCCCGACAGCTGCCCCGGCTCCGAGGTGTCGGCCTTGGAGACGCTGCCAGCTTCTGTTCACCGGCCGCGGACCCGCGTGGGAGACGCTCGGACGCGCACAGCCAGCGCGCCGCGTAGCCCGCGCGTCCCGTCCGGCCCCGGCTGCGCCTCGAAAGAGGGAGGCTCTGGCCGCTCGCTGCCGGCGGGCGTCGGCTGTGTCGGGAGCGCGCCCGCCCGCCCCTCAGCTGCCCAGCGGACAGCGGGAGAGGCGCGCACCATGAGCGGCGGCGAAGTGGTCTGCTCCGGATGGCTCCGCAAGTCCCCCCCGGAGAAGAAGTTGAAGCGTTATGTAAGTAGAGCTTCGGCCGCCTCTCCTTGGGCCTCCCCGCCCGCACCGCTGCCCCGGCAGCGCGCGGGGCGCGTTCTTCAACTTAGTCCCCCATCTCTTTCCCCTCGGCCCCTTCCCCGGCAGGCTCGGCACCGAGGCTGTAAAGCTCACGCCCCGGCCTCTCTCCACTTTGCCGGCTAACTTTCTTCCTCCAGCTTCCAGACGGCCTGCTGTGCGGGCCTCATCGGCCCGTGGGAGGGCCCTGGATTTCCACCTAATGCCTGCTGCCTGTTTTTACTACTCCTTGTAGCAGAGGTGAGGGGAAGAGCATTCGTCTTTCTTTATGTCTGCGTTTGATCATCATGGGGCTGCTGAACACTGAATTTCCCGCAACCGAGAAACCAGTGAGGTTTTAGAACTCAGCAGCTCTTTCTTCGGTCGGCGCTCTCATCTCATCTTAACCACCGCCCCCGCCCCCCCCCTCACCGAGGTGCGGGCGACAGTGGACTGTGGACCTGAGAAGTTGGTATTGGAAACCAGCATCTCAAATCCGTGCAAAAGGGAAAGAAAAGTTAACTACGCGCCCTGCCGTTTGCCTAGCAGGGTTCGCATTTTCGCGGTTTTGAATCGAGGGGCGGCGGGGTTTGGCCCGAGAGCCTTGGCAGTTTGCTGCGAGAGGAGGGCGCTGGGGGGAGCCTGGCGGCTGGTATTTGGGCGCCTTGGACGCGCTGTCAAGCCTCGAAGGAGGGGGGACAGCTGAGGCCCGTAGGATTTGTGTGTGTTGCGGTCCTTTCCCAGGCCACCAGGGTTACTTAAATGGCATCGGTGTAATTGGTACAAGATGCTGATTATGTGTTAAACCATTTTTAGCTGTTAGGAAAAATATTCCTTGAAAGAACCAACCTTACTTTGGTGGAAATCTATGCCTTCTTCAGGGGTCTAGATTCTTACCCCTTCTCGCCCGTTCGTTCTTTCGTCGCTTCCCTCTGTAAAGGAAAGAAATGACGTTTGTCCCGGCATATGGAACCAATGTTTTTCTAGTAAAATGTGTTTTCAAAACCAAATATGTGCCTCCTTAAATACAAATCTACTGTCAGGGGCCGGCACTTCCAATGGAACTTAATTCTTGTTGAACGATATCTACACCCAGTATTAGGACCCAAATTCATCTTATTAGTCACCGCTTGGATAGTGGAGTGAAGTGCAGTGTTTAACTGCACCGACTCACCAGAGAGTTTCTGGTTCACTTTCTGCCAGCATTTGTTATAGACAAGTAATTCTCATTTAAGAACTTGATGCCATACATCCTAAGAAACTTGAACCCTTCCAGATCCCGTCTCTTTACTTACCAGAGTTTCCTGAATGTTCTGGTAGAGATACAACTTTCTTCCAACATTTGTGGGGGCCGTGCTTTACGTAGTTCTTTAGTTCCAAAAAGAAGATTGTACGTGTGTGAGAAGAGGAAGTAGGGAGATAGGTGAATTTGTTTTGAGAGGCACAGTTTAAGAAAACACATGGACCTGACGAAGTTCTAGGAGGAAACTAAAGGACAGTACAGTTGCCTAAATAAGTAGTGATTTTAGAGACGTAACACATTCTTTCACATGGTTGGTTTATGGCTCTCTCAAAAGATGCCTGCCACTGGACTAGGCATCATAAGATTAGAAAATATAGTGGGAAAGAAGCCCTGCCTAGTGGGCTTGCAATTTAATGTTATATAATTTAAGAAGAAAATCAGCCAAAAAGATTGTCTTAGCAAGGACAAAGAAAATGAAAAGTGCTCCCCCAAATATGTATTATTTCATTTGCTCATTACAACAGTTTTATGAGGTGGGTATTATCTCTGTTTTACAAATGAGAAAACAGTTTCGGTAACCAGAATGTGCCATAGGATTTGAACCCAGATCTGCCTAACTGCTATAAAAGGTTAATGACTCATCTAGTTCAAGTGGAGCTCAGACTGTCATCTTTAAAGCTCCTTTCAGTTTTTATAACGTTCTAGGAGTCTGTGAATATTAGTTGAGAATGCAAGGAAGAAGCAAGTTGGGGGATAAGATGCGTAGGTTAAAGAAACACAAGACCCTTCAAGCGGCTTTCTGAGTTTTCAGAGAAATGAGACAATATGTGAAATGAGCTAACAGCATAAAGTGGTTTCAGATCGCGTGCCGAAGCTGACTGTTATTTATTTTTTAAATAGATGTTTTGAGGAATAAGCTCATTGTAGTCTGAAACCATAGGGATACTTTTGAGAGATAGAGGCCTCCCTAAACTGTTTTCCACAGGGGGAGGAGTATGCCCAACAGCTTGGAGGAGGTGGGGTTCTTCTTGCCTGGCTGAGTACTAGTGTTTTCTTTATACATGGATATGGACCAGGAAAACAGTGTGCAGGGTGACTACCAGAATTTAAGGGGTCCCAGAGGATGACTAGAGTATTGTAAGTTAGAATGAGGACTATCTTATAGTTTAGCTGTCAAGTTGGTTGCCCAGAAGTTTTTGACATTTCCAGATTATCGATCTTTAGGCTTTGATGTCCAATTCAGATTGTTTTTGCTAAAGCAGCTTTGACCCTCAAAGACATGCATATATTCACCCATTTCTGATTCTTGTTTTCTTTTCATGTAAAATCTTTATGAAAATAAAGGGTAAAAGGAAACATTTTTGGCCATCCAGTAGACAAAATGTTGCTTGATAATGGTTTTTAATGAATGGCTTTGCTGTGAAAAGATATCTTGGATGAATGGTACTGTGATTGTTAATGAGATGTTAGGGATTGATTCTTTTGGGGAGCATTTGGCCCATGGGATTTCAACAGTTGTCTCACTGTTTACAGTATTTGTAGGGTAGTCCAAACAATTAAGATGGTACTTAAGGGCTTTTATATGACAAGAAATTGTTTTAGTTTTTATCTTTAAAGTCATCTCACATTATGGCTTCAGTGCATTCCATTTACAACTCCTTTTTATGTTTACTATTTCATAGTCAACTCACACAGCATTTTCTTTGGACACTAGTGTGTTCCTCTGGTACGAAAGCTTTTCTTAAATTTCCTAGAGAGAGTGAAAGGGACATGAAAAGAGAAAGCCTGGAATAGTGTGTATATTCCCTAGCCTGTTCATCTCTTTTTACTTTTTTCTATATCTATTTGCAAAAGGGTAAGAGCCTCTTCTATGTATTCTACTTAAAGTGGAGGTGAAAATTTTCATGCTTTCTTTCAATTTTGCTACCACTGTGTTTTGGTTTTTTCGTATGTTGTATATTAAACAGCTGCTTTTTTACTTTAAGGACCTCAGTGGAAATATACACAGATCACCATCACTAGGGTTGCAGAAAACAAGTAAATTCTTGGTAGTATGCGCTCAACAGTTGTGCTCAGATTTTTAAGAAGTTATTTAAAGACAAATCAGCTATTTGAAATAATGGTAAGATTTTCATCACTACTTGAAATTTCAGCCAAGATGAAATGTAAGTCTGAAAACAAAGGATTGGTTCAAGCCAGCTGGTTATCACCATATCTCTGCAGGAGATGCTTCCCTGTGGCCTGCCTCAACTCTGGACACCAGGTTCAGGCTCCTCCATGGCCCAGCTGTCAGCATTGGGCAGGTGTGTAATCTCAGCAGGAGAACCTGCTTCTGAGGCCTGACCAAGGTGGCCTGTGAGCTGCCAGCCAGTCTGGGAACAAGACCTTGGCCAGTTCTCTGGTGTGGAATCTGCACCCAGCTTGGGCTCCACTCTTCAGCTGTTAGTTAATAGGATGGTTCTTGTCTGGACTTCCAGAACATGCCCCTGGTTTTGGAAATGGGCCTAGAAACAGAAATAGCCTCTTTCTCTGGGTGGGCACCTCACATCTTACATGGAGGACCCAGCAGGCAGAGTTAGCATCTCCTTGTTCAGGGACTGCCCAGGATCTGTGCTAAGTAAGCATTTAGGTCACTCACTGCTCAGTAGTGCCACTACAGCAAATGGGATTGTGATGTGATGTCTGTAAGCTCTTCTGTACTTTTCTTTTTTTTTTTTTTTGCAATTACTAGTAGCAGTAAAGGGACTCTCTGAAGCTTTTACTTAGTGATTGAAGGAGCATAATTCGTCTGTTGAAGTAATTTTTTTCTTGAAAACCTCAGGATAGTAAATGTCCATTCAGATTCTTAATGTTTTCTTTTTACCTTTTCTCATGTGGCAGGAACACTGTTTCTGTTAACAAAGATCATCAACTACTAATTACATTAAGCCTCATGATAGGTGGTTGATCGTTGATAATTGTTTCATTATGCCTGGACTTAATGATGAGTATAAAACTCTCCATGTAAAACTTGCTGAATTCCTAAATCTGATTGTTGTCTTTGGGATTTAAAATTACCATTAGAAAGTTGTATCAGTTTGGAGGGTAGTTTTAGAATTCTGCTGTTTTGAAAATTTGATTTTAAGTTTTTTAAAAAGATCATCTTTGAGCAAGATACAATAATATGACAAGAGTTATACTTGGATAATTTTGTTGACAGCTGAATTGGTTATCTCAGTGTGTTGTGTAGTTATTAAGCCTGCTTTAAAAATAAAGCATCAAAGCTTTTTTATGACTAAATTCCATATGTATGTATGTATTTAAAGTTTATTTTCAGTAATCTCTGTACCCAACATGGGGCTCTAGCTCATGATCCTGAGATCAGGAGTCGTATGCTCTTCCAACTGAGCCAGCCAGGTGCCCCAGTAGAATTCCTTATTTTGTAGTTAACATAAAAATATGCAGATAAGGCCTTGATAATTTGCAGATAGAGGAAGTTTAAGACTGATAGATTCAAAACATTGAGTGCTATCACTCCTAATTTTCTTACAGAAACTAACACAGGGGAAGGGACATCACAGCAGGTAGACTACTACTTTATTTGTGAAGGATTTGGAGTAAATTGTGCTACTGTGAAAGGAATCCTGGATTGAGTGTCAGGATGCAGGATTAGATTGACTTTGCCTTTATCTAGGTGATTCTTTGACCATTCTGACCCTCAGTTTCCTCATCTCTAAAATGGGGA